CCATGGGAAGAGAATTCCAGCTGCTGGAATATTCTGAAACCCAGAAGCTCCCACCTCACCTGGATGTGGGATTTTCATCATCCCAACATCATCCCTTCAACTTGGCTGGGCCAAAACTGAATTTTCCCTGGAAAAAAAAAAAGAAAAAAAAATCCTGGATCTCATTTTTACAGATTTCTGATACATTTTAAAGGTGTTTTTTTTTTTTGTTTTATTTTTTTGGGGGTTTTTTTTGTTTTTTTTTTTAAAGCCACAAGTTTTGGTATTTCGCACCTGCATCCAGAGGTTTTGATGGAAAATGGATCATTTGAATCAGGCAGGTCCAAAAAAAATTTTGGGAATTTGTGGAAAAAAAAAATGGTGGAAATTTGTGGAAGGTGGGGTTTGGGCAGCACCGGAATTTGACGGATTTGGCCTCATTTTGGTCTCAGGGAGGAAGGTGAGAGGTTGGACTCTGATCCTGAGGATTTTCGGGCATGAAAATCAGAATTTGAGGCCAAAATCAATGCTTGGGGCCAGGTATTCCCAAAAATCTTTGTGTCCTGGATGTTGTTTTTTTTTTAGGGCAAAATTCCCAATTTTGCTTTGGGATAGGCGGACTCTGACCCTCTGCTGTTCCCTTTTAATTCTCATTTCCCAAATCCTCAAAATCTCGAAGGATTTTTATGGATATTCCGCGGAGCAGCTTCGTTTTCAGCTCAGAAATGTGGGAATAACCAAGTGGGATTTGTGGGATTCCTCCTTCTCCAAACTCTTCACGTCTTGGATGGAGCAGATTTCTTGGAACAACAATTCCTTCATCCTCAATCCCTTCCCATCTGGAATGAAGTGGATTTGAAACATTCCCAGCACAAGGGATGGGATTTATCCTTATTTTTATCCACTTTTGTTCCCTAAATCCACTCAAAGTTGGTGTTGATGCCTCCTTGGACCTGGAATTTGTGAAATCCTTGGGATTTTCTGTTTTCCATGAAGATTGGACACTTTGTTCCATCACCTTCTGCTTCCAGGATTTCTTGGTGGTGATCCATGAGCGCAAGGAGGTTGGGATGGAATTAGGGAAGGTGGGAACGGAGGAGTTCAGATGGAATTTTTTCTTCTCACCAGGATTTATGGGAAGGGATTCTGGAATTTTAGGGGAAGGATTTCTTTGGATTCCAGGAAAAAAATCGGGGCTGTTCCATCCTTGGAATGTCCAAATCCAGGTTGGGTGGGGCTTGGAGCAACCTGGGATCATCTTTGGGTTCCTTTCCAACCCAACCATTCCATGGACAGTGGAATATTCCCGAAGAGTGGGAAGAGTTAGGAATGAGGCAAAAAGGAGGAAAATCCATAAATCCAGAAGATTTTGAATTCTGTGGACACTAAAATATTCCCAAAGAGTGGGAAGGGCCAAGAATGAGGCAAAAAGGAGGAAAATCCATAAATCCAAAAAATTTTGGGTTCTGTGGACACGGAATATTCCCAAAGAGTGGGAAGGGCCAGGAATGAGGCAAAAAAGAGGAAAATCCATAAATCCAGAAGATTTTGGATTCTGTGGACAGTGGAATATTCCTAAAGAGTGGGAAGAGTTAGGAATGAGAAAAATCCATAAATGCAGAAGATTTTTGGTTCTGTGGATATTAGAATATTCCTAAAGAGTGGGAAAAGTTAGAAATGAGGCAAAAAGGAGGAAAATCTATAAATCCAGAGGGTTTTGGGTTCTGTGGACAGTGGAATATTCCTGAAGAGTGGGAAGAGTTAGAAAGGAGGAAAATCCATAAATCCAAAAAATTTTGGGTTCTGTGGATATTAGAATATTCTTAAAGAGTGGGAGAGTTAGGAATGAGGCAAAAGGAGGAAAATCCATAAATCCAGATGGTTTTGGATTCTGTGGACATGGAATGTTCCCTAAGAGTGGGAAGAGTTAGGAATGAGGCAAAAATGAGGAAAATCCATAAATCCAGAAGATTTTGGGTTCTGTGGACAGTGGAATATTCCCAAAGAGTAGGAAGAGTTAGAAATGAGGCAAAAAGGAGGAAAATCCATAAATCCAAAAAATTTTGGATTTTGTGGACATGGAAAATTCCCAAAGAGTGGGAAGAGTTAGAAAGGAGGAAAATCCATAAATCCAGAAGATTTTTGGTTCTGTGGACACTAAAATATTCCCAAAGAGTGGGAATGTTAGAAATGAGGCAAAAAGGAGGAAAATCCATAAATCCAGAGGGTTTTGGGTTCTGTGGACACTAAAATATTCCCAAAGGGTGGGAAGAGTTAGAAATGAGGCAAAAAGGAGGAAAATCCATAAATCCAGAAAATTTTGGGTTCTGTGGACACCAGAATATTCCCAAAGAGTGGGAAAAGTTAGAAAGGAAGAAAATCCATAAATCCAGAAGGTTTTGGATTCTGTGGACAGTGGAATATTCCCAAAGAGTGGGAAAGGCCAAGAATGAGGCAAAAAGGAGGAAAATCCATAAATCCAAAAAATTTTGGGTTCTGTGGACAGTGGAATATTCCCAAAGAGTGGGAAGGGTTGGAAAGGAGGAAAATCCATAAATCCAAAAAATTTTGGGGTCTGTGGACATGGAATATTCCCAAAGAGTGGGAATGTTAGAAATGAGGCAAAAAGGAGGAAAATCCATAAATCCAGATGGTTTTGGATTCTGTGGACTGTGGAATATTCTCAGAGTGGGAAAGGGCCAGGAATGAGGCAAAAAGGAGGAAAATCCATAAATCCAGAAGGTTTTGGGTTCTGTGGGCAGTGGAATATTCCCAAAGAGTGGGAAGAGTTAGAAATGAGGAAAATCCATAAATCCAGAAGGTTTTGGGTTCTGTGGATATTAGAATATTCCTAAAGAGTGGGAGAGTTAGGAATGAGGCAAAAGGAGGAAAATCCATAAATCCAGAAGATTTTGGATTCTGTGGACAGTGGAATATTCCCAAAAGTGGGAAGGGCCAGGAATGAGGCAAAAAGGAGGAAAATCCATAAATCCAAAAAAATTTGGGTTCTGTGGACAGTGGAATATTCCCAAAGAGTGGGAAAAGTTAGGAATGAGGCAAAAGGAGGAAAATCCATAAATCCAGAAGAATTTGGATTCTGTGGACACCAGAATATTCCCAAAGAGTGGGAAGAGTTAGAAATGAGGAAAATCCATAAATTCAGATGATTTTGGGTTCTGTGGGCAGTGGAATATTCCCAAAGAGTGGGAAGAATTAGAAATGAGGCAAAAAGGAGGAAAATCCATAAATCCAAAAAATTTTGGGGTCTGTGGACAGTGGAATATTCCTAAAGAGTGGGAAAAGTTAGAAAGAAGGAAAATCCATAAATCCAAAAAATTTTGGGTTCTGTGGACAGTGGAATATTCCCAAAGAGTGGGAAGAGTTAGGAATGAGGAAAATCCATAAATCCAAAAAATTTTGGGTTCTGTGGATACTAGAATATTCCTAAAGAGTGGGAATGTTATAAATGAGGCAAAAAGGAGGAAAATCCATAAAATTTTGGGTTCTGTGGACAGTGGAATATTCCCAAAAGTGGGAAAGGCCAAGAATGAGGCAAAAAGGAGAAAAATCCATAAATCCAGATGGTTTTGGGTTCTGTGGATACTAGAATATTCCTAAAGAGTGGGAAGAGTTAGGAATGAGGAAAATCCATAAATCCAGAAGAATTTGGGTTCTGTGGACATGGAATATTCCCAAAGAGTGGGAATGTTAGAAATGAGGAAAATCCATAAATCCAAAAAATTTTGGGGTCTGTGGTCATGGAATATTCCCAAAGAGTAGGAAGAGTTAAAAAGGAGGAAAATCCATAAATCCAGAAGATTTTGGGTTCTGTGGACAGTGGAATATTCCCTAAGAGTGGGAAGAGTTAGAAATGAGGCAAAAAGGAGAAAAATCCATAAATCCAAAAAATTTTGGGGTTCTGTGGAAAGTGGAATATTCCCAAAGAGTGGGAAGGGCCAGGAATGAGGCAAAAAGGAGGAAAATCCATAAATCCAGAGGATTTTGGGTTCTGTGGACACCAGAATATTCCCAAAAAGTAGGAAGAGTTAGGAATGAGGAAAATCCATAAATCCAGAAGGTTTTGGGTTCTGTGGACAGTGGAATATTCCCTAAGAGTAGGAAGAGTTAGAAAGGAGGAAAATCCATAAATCCAAAAAATTTTGGGTTCTCTGGACAGTGGAATATTCCCAAAGAGTGGGAAGAGTTGGAAAGGAGGAAAATCTATAAATCCAGAGGGTTTTGGATTCTGTGGACAGTGGAATGTTCCCAAAAGTGGGAAGGGCCAGGAATGAGGCAAAAAGGAAGAAAATCCATAAATCCAGGAGGTTTTGGCCGGTGAGGACCTGGAAAGGAGAAGATTCCCAAAAATCTTGGATCAGCAGCTGGAGGGATTTGGGAGCCAAAACTCCTCCTTGGAACCATGGAATTGGAATTCTCGGAGTCAAATTCCCTTTTTTCTCAAGTTTTCCTTGAGGAGCAGCTTTTTATTTATTTATTTATTTATTTATTTATTTATTTATTTATTTATTTATTTATTTATTTTAATCCTGGTTAAATTCAAGCCTGGAAAAAAATCCGGATCTTTGGGAATGGGATTGCTTAGGGATGGTTTGAAATTAGGGAAAACCAGTTTAAAATGCTGCTTTATCCTCCTAGGAATTATTCCATCATCCCAACTCTTGGGATCCATTATTTTATATTAATTATTCCATCTTTGATTGGAGTTTATACCGGAAGAGCCGCTGGAAGTTGATTTATTTTTTCCAAGAATATTTCATAATTATCATTGGTGATGTTCCACCTTGAAGAATCCCAGAATTTTCCAAGGAATTTTCCTTCTCCATAGAAAACTGCCTCATTTATTTTTTTCCCAGCTCCCTGTCAATATTCCCAATTAAACCAGACTTCAGGCGTTTTTATATGGAATTAAATCCAATTTTTATCTGATATTTTAATGATAAATGAGCGTGGAAAACATCCCGAGGCTCTGGAATGACCTTTGGGCCGTGACATGATGGGAAGTGAACATTTCCAGGAATTAATTGAGGAATTAATTGATTTAATGAATGGATTCGATTAATTTATTTAATGAATTCATTTAATTGATTGATTGATTGGATTAATCCATTTAATTGGGGCTTTTGTGCTGGAGCAGTGAGAATCAGCTTTTAACCCCCTGCCTGAATTCCATGGGAATTTGACTTTTCTTGGGAATTTAAATTTTCTGGGAATTTGACTTTTTGTGGGAATTTGACTTTTGTGGGAATTTGACTTTTCGTGGGAATTTGACTTTTCTTGGGAATTTGACTTTTATGGGAATTTGACTTTTCTTGGGAATTTGACTTTTTGTGGGAATTTTACTTTTCATGGGAATTTGACTTTTTGTGGGAATTTGACTTTTCGTGGGAATCTGACTTTTCTTGGGAATTTGACTTTTTGTGGGAATCTGACTTTTCTTGGGAATTTGACTTTTATGGGAATTTGACTTTTCTTGGGAATTTGATTTTTCTTGGGAATTTGACTTTTATGGGAATTTGACTTTTCCTGGGAATTTGACTTTTCTTGGGAATTTGACTTTTCGTGGGAATTTGACTTTTCGTGGGAATTTGACTTTTATGGGAATTTGACTTTTTGTGGGAATTTGACTTTCCGTGGGAATTTGACTTTTCATGGGAATTTGACTTTTCTTGGGAATTTGACTTTTTGTGGGAATTTGATTTTTCTTGGGAATCGGACATTTTGTGGGAATTTGACTTTCCTTGGGAATTTGACTTTTTGTGGGAATTTGACTTTTATGGGAATTTTTTTTTTTTGGGAATTTGACTTTTCGTGGGAATTTGACTTTTCTTGGGAATTTGACTTTTATGGGAATTTGACTTTTTGTGGGAATTTGGCTTTTTGTGGGAATTTGACTTTTATGGGAATTTGACTTTTCGTGGGAATTTGACTTTTC